AGAATGATATCTATATCATTATAGTAATCGTCATATTAATTTAATTTAAGATGTCTTAATATTTTATTTGTGTAATTATTTCTAATGGAATGAAATAATTAATATTTTCTTAGATTTTACAAAAAAGATTATAATAATATTTAACATTAATATTGTTAGGGAATTAGAATGGGGAAAAAAAGATATCCTTTTATACAATTTATAAAATTTTAAATATATTTTGAAATGTAGTTTATTTTTTTTTTATTTTTTCGGGGGGACAGAGGATTTTTGTATAAATCTAATTTAAATTATTTATGTAACATTAACTAGTTTATATGATAAATGTTCCATTCTGTGTTATTTTGAACTTATTTTTATTTAAATGTTCAATTCATTCTTAAATTTGATTTAAGTTAATGAAAAAACTTTGTATAAAATAAAGCATAATCATTTATCATACCTTTATTATTATTTGCTTTTTCTAACAAAATATCTAAAACAGTAAAAAATGTATGATAAAAAAATAAAGTTTCAATTTTAATTAATAATTGCAGACTTGAAAATCAACAACGTGTTATGTACCAAAAATTAAAAATTGTGTTAGTACTAGAAAAATGTTCTGAATTATTATTAGTATGATTGTTTTAATAAATTAGTTGGTGGTGTTTTAGTGTATTATCGTTTGTGTGTTTGTTGGTGTTGTAAGCATACGACGTCTGTAAATATCGGATGTGGTAGTCATACTCTCATGGGGTCAAAAATGTTTATTAAAATTTAAGCATATCTTTTTAGTTGCGTTTTGACCACCGGCAAGTACGGACGCTTTTATCGAACTTGTTTCCGCTGTTATCGCTAGATTAGTTGTTTCTCTCGATTGTCGTTTTCAATACATTTATTTTCTTTTTTTGTATGTCTCGTTTAGTGATCTTTTAAATGTGTAATCGGGCCCCGGTGGAGGAGGGCCGATCTTCCCTCATTGACGACCGGAGTCGNGGCCGATCTTCCCTCATTGACGACCGGAGTCAATAACTTTAACTAAACATTATTTATCCAATGAGAGCCTGTCACCTTCAATAAAACCTCAAATCTCCATTCGGGCCGTCAGCAAAAAAAGCTAAAACTGGTTCCATCTCTCCATCGTCATCACCAAACGATGTTATCATGACCGATGGTGCGTTGAACAATAATTCTAATATCAATTCAAACGTTACACACCATAAAGATAACCCATCTATTCCATATACCGGTCACATAAAACCACTTAGTCTATCAACAATGTTTTATTCGGTGTCTCGCCTAGCGCGCGTAGCTCCGTTCAGTGCGCTAGATATCTTCGCTTCAGTCACACACACAAATTTTGCCATAGTAAAGAATGCTGCGGGCACTGCGGCTTAGCAGAACACACCACGTCACTCTGCCCTGATATATCTACTTCTCCGCCTTCCTGTATTTTTTGATACAAAAATGATGACAACTCTAAATAATGCCAATAATTCTTTGAACTCCTGTCCTGCCTTTAATATTTTACAATAGAATATACGCAGTATTATTTCACACACTCATGACCTTTCTTACCTCTTATCTGAACAAAAATGCTCCTTTGCTCTTTAATCAACGACTTGGATTTTACCCAAACGGTCCTACCACATCAATAATTTTAACCTCATTCGTTCTGATAGACAGGATGGTTAACGGTGGAGTGGCTATTGCTGCCCATTACACCATTCAAATTTCCCCTATTACTATTAACGAAAATCTTTTAAATTCTCTACGTATTCATTCAATTGACCTTGATGGTATCGTTGCTTTCTCTAACCATTCTTCTCCTGTATGTCTTTGGTCTATTTATATTACCCCCTTATCCAACCCTTATCCATCATTCATTAATTCTATCTTTAATTTGTTTCCTCCTAACACCATTACAGGTGGAGACTTAAATGGTCACCATCCAACATAGGGTTTTCATGACAGTAATTATCATGGCAATTTTATTTTTTCTTCTATTTATTCTTTTTATCTAAGAATTATTAATGACGGCTCCCCTACTATCGCTAATCGCCCTCCTTTTGCCGACACAGCTGTTGATATTATTTTTACTTCTCCTTCATTATCTTGGTCTCTTCATTAGTCTGTTCTTGATTGCGTCTATGGTACCACCCAATACCCTATTGTAATTTCTTACTCTTCGCTTTACCCCAATTATGCTCCTGATTCTCCTCCCCAATCTCATTATCCCTTATTTCATTTAAACGAAGCCAATTGGGGCTTTTTTCAGCTTACACTACTGTTGTTCTTTTTAACTTTTCTCTCTCATCCTGTCCTTTAATTGACTATAAAACTTTTGTCACTATACTTAAAAATGCGGCTTACTCCTCTGTACCTATAAAAAAAAGCACTAAAAAAATATTCCTTCCATCCCCATTATGGTGTTCTATTGTCTGTGCTAATGCCGTTAAAGAACTCTTTCAAGCCTTTGGATTGTACAGATTTACTGGTGCAGTCTCAGATTTCATTTTCTATCGGCGTATTTGTTCTACCACCACTCGTACTTTGAAAATAGCAAAAAATGATACTTGCCATTCTATTTGCTCGTCTCTTAATCCATCTTCATCCTTCCCTCACATATGGTCAACTGCTAAAAAGTTTAAAAACTGCGTAAATCGCCGTTCCTCTTCTCTTAACAAAACATGGTTTCCATCATTCTGTAATAAAGTTCCTCCTTCTTATGTTCCATCTTTTAAAGAATCAACCCCTACACCATTCCTTTCCTCTCTACTTATAACTCTGTTTCTCACCCTTGAACTATGCCGTTTACTTCTAAAGAGCTCACATTAGCAATTTTTTCACGCGCTTCTTCTGCTTGTGATCTTGATGGCATCTCTCCATTAATGTTAAAACATCTTCCCCGATTTGGTCTTGATAATCTCCTAATCATATTAAACTCTATTTAGACCGATTGCTTAATTCTTAATAACTCCTTCTTGGAAATGTTTTCATGTTATTCCTATACAAAACTTCAATTTACCCCAGCTTCTTTCCGACCTATCACTCTTCCTCCTCACTTTGTAAAACTGTTGATTCATGATCAAGTCTTGACTAGACTGGTTTCTAGAAAACAACACTCTCTTACCTAATAATCTCTTTGTTTTCAGGAGAGGTTTGGGTACAATGAATTGTCTTTCTTCTTTTATTGGTCCTATCTACGAGCCATTTTGTAATAAAGAATTTTTTTCCAGCTATTTTTATCAACATTAAAGGAGTTTTCGATTTCGTGCATATACCCACCCTTATCGAGCGTTTATACTCAATCAATGTTCCCCTTTTCTTTATAATATTCTATCATCTTTTTTCTCTCATCGCCTCCTTTTTATTTCTTCCCCGTCAGGACTATCGGTTTCTAGATCTACGTATAAAGGATTACCTCAGGATAGTTGCTTTAGGTCCATTCTTTTTAATATTTACATGAGTCCTATTAGTAATAACCTTTTCTCTTATGGGTGTTCCTCTCTGTTTTATGCAGATGATATTGTTATCTTTTACTCTGACAGCTTTCTTACAAGCGCTATATCTATCTTTAATAATTCATTATCTATTCTTTCCTCTAGTCTCCTTTCTTCTTATTTCACTTAAGCACTAGAAAAAAACACATTCATTATTTTTACAAGGAAATATATTGTCCCTCATTATTCCTCAAGTCCGTCTTGACGGACACTTTTTCTACCCTTCACTCTCTGTTACATATCTAGGTCTTATTCTAGATCCTAAGTTAAGATGGGTTCCTCATTTCCAATATCTTTTCTTATTTTTATAGCGTTGGTCTAATTTCCTTCAATGCATTATTGGCACCTTGTGGGGCTGTCACCCTTCTTCTCTTCTATTAATCATCAATTCAATTATCCGTGCCAAAATAGACTACGGCACATTTCTTTTTTCCTCTGCTTCTTTATGCCATCGTAAAAAATTAAATACTTTATTTGCATCTTGCTTACGCATCCGTTATTGGTGCCCTAAATTTCACACCGATTCTTAGACTTAAACTAGAATATTATTGCCCCTTATTGAAATTAGATGTAGCCGTCTAGCTGGAAAATTTTTACTAAAATCTTTAGCTTTTCATAACTTAATAATCTTTAATACATTCAAGTCAGTTCAGGTGTTTTGGCGCTATGTCCCCAAAACTTAACCTATACTTGTTTCTCTATGTACATCACTTACTACTTTGGTCAATGCTTTTCAAAAATCGCATAGTAGGCTCCTTATTTATGATAGTCCTTTCGATGCCCTCTTACTTCCCCTATAAGTACCATTTTTCCTAACTTTTGTAACTATACCACTTTAAGCCTTCATTTTCTTCCCTCAACCTCTTCAATTCTTATATTTACGAAAACTTTCCAAACTTCTGCTTAATTTTCACTAATGGGTCCGTCACGTCCCTTAAAGTAGGTTGTGCGTACTTCATCTCTTCTTTTCCTTTAAAATCCGATGCCTCTCATCATATTTTAAATCTTTCCTTATCTAATGCGTGGTCAACCAAATGGTCCTCACTTGCCTCATATTTTGCTCAATGGCATCGATCAATAACCCCATATCCCTCAAATTTCCCCTGGTTCCATCGTCTTGATCTCCCCTGCAAATCTATCGCCGCTTTCTCCCGCTTAAGAGTTGGTCACAATTTTCTAATCAATTTCGCCTTCAAACTTCACCTTAATTCTGTCCCTCTCTGCCACATTCACGAGGAGGAATTTATAAAGAAGATTTCCCTCATTTTTTAATATTTTGTCTTGCTCTCAATTCCAATAGGTTCTTGTTATTCAACTTCCTAGCCACTCATGGTATCACTAATCCTAATCCTTAATTCTGGTAATGTGTCCATTATTAACTCAATTATACCTTTTCTTTTGTGTGCTGGTTGCTCCATGTAACTTACTTGCAATGATTGACTATAGTAATTTGTATTATATTTCATTTTATTTTTAACTCATAACATGAATATCTCTTGTAAATAATTTTATTACACTTTTGTTTTCTTTCCTGTTACTTCTTTTGTTGTAAATGTATATATTTGTAATATTTACTGTTGTTTTACATTTTAATTGTTGAGCCATAATATTTTTAAATAAAGGCTATTTATAAAAAAAAAAAAAACATATCTTTTGTAAACATAAGAGGCTGCGAAAAAATGTAAATTTTTTCATGAATTGCTACAGGTATAAGTTATTTGAGCGTTTTACATTTTTTTTAGAATTTTTTTCATGAATTACTTAAAATAAATTTTATGGCACATAGCATGTTATTGGTTTCAACTCGTCACTTATAATGTTGTCATTAAACATATAAAAATATATTGAAAAATTACTTATTGAGATTCGATTTTTACAATTTTTTTGTTAATGAAACTTAGTCCGGAATTACTCCGAAAAAATTGTTCATGATGATCAGATAATATTTTTTAATATTCCCAGAACGTTGCAACATAATATTGTAAATTAGTTTTTTGGTCTTCGTTAATTATTGTATTTCTGATTTTTGATTAATTATTGTATTTTGATCATGTATTTAATTTCTGATTGGAATGAAGTCATTTTAAATGGGAGACTTCACAATGACCTTATAATGAAGCTAGTGCACTTTGAATTAGTATGATACCTCTCTAGTAAACATTTTTAGCAGCTGTAAGACCCTTTATTTCAATGATCAGACGGCCTGCTATCATTTGGTTTAACAATAATATAAATTTTATTGGTGCAAGTAAGGAGTAAGTGTTACTTGAAAAACAGAAGAAAGGTGTACCATACAAAAACAATTGACTAATGAAGGAATTCTATGGAAATTTATACCACCCTGTGCAATCTACTTCTGCAGATTCTGAAAGCATAAGTGAAGTCACTAAAATAGCACTTTAGAAGAACAATAGTAGTAGAAAATTTAAAATTTTGATGAACAATTAACAGTCTTAAGTCAAATATAAAGATGTGTTTGGTACTGTTTGCACTGCGAGTGTGACCTACCTAATCAGGTTTTATTTTATGGGTAGTTGCTTACAATATTTTTTTTATTCGTTCGTGGAAGTGCCTTCTAGATAGATTTCTTTACAGTTATTGGTATATACGTCATGTTTTTTTTGTTTTGACGTGATTATAGTAGTTTATGCATTTATAAAACGATAATTGTAATAAGTACGTGATAGGGTTAGATACAATAATCTATCAAGGTATAATAAAATTGTTTAATTTTCATTAATTTAATAATATTTTGTTGCAACTGATATTATTATTTATTAATTGTATGTTTGTTTAATTATTTAAGTTATTAGCATTAAAGTAAGGAATTAATTTTTTTCTTTGAAATTAAGTTTGGAGAATATAAAGCGCCAAAAGTGCAGTCCATAATATTTTACTTAAATTTTCTTTTTATTGTATTTGTTTTAAGTTTTTCTATTTAAAGAACCTATAACTTATTGAAAAGTGTATGGATCAATACAATTTTTTTATGAGAAATAATATTTATATCTCTGAAACAGAGATATAAATATTATTTCTCAATGAAAATCAAAATGAAACATTTGATATACTTTTTCTTTAAATAACACCTTCTCCCTTTATATATCATAAATATATATAGTTATTTATTTATTCATATATTACAGTTATAAATCATAAAACTTGTAATCAGGATATAAATAAGGAAATAGGAGATCATGTATCTTTTGTAATAATCCATCATTTTTTAAAATTAAACACTACATATTTGCATCGAAGTGTTTCTTATGATAGTGATTTTAGTCACTGTCAGATATCATTATACTTGACCCAACTAGGCCACATCCTCACTATGCTGCGAGAGCAATATGCCACCTTACTGTACTGGGTTTTTTTTTTGTTTATTTATTTATATATTATATAACATATAAATTTTATGTTATTATTATAATTCTGTGTATTTAATAAATGTATTATGTTATGTAGGCCTAAAAATTTGATTATACTATCTTTTCATGTAAATGTTAAAATCTTAAATTAACAATGTAAGATAATATATAATGTAATGTTACTCTCTTTGACAAATTGTTATTAGTTTTAAACGAGTTTTTGGTGTTTTTGTAGCTAATTAGTGGTGGTACAATGAGTCACTTAATATTTATTTTTTATTAGTTATTTATTTTAGTGGTATAACTATCATTTATGGGGTGTTTAAATTAAATTTACGTAAAAATTAAATTAAAATTGAGTTAGCTCGTCATCATTAGTGCACTAAACTAATTAAGTGTTTCATAGACTGTATTATTTCCTTAAGGCGACTCTACTTATTTCAAGGAAGCTCATATCTAAAAAAAACCAAGCACAGGGGGGACGTGGGACAGTCGTGACGTAGCATAGTTGGATCAAGTATAATGATATCTGACAGTGATTAAAATCACTATAAAAAAAAAAACGTTTCGGTGTAAATCTATAGATAGCATTTAATTAAAAAAAATTTGTGGATTATTTCAAAAACTACATGATCAGCTAGATCCTTATTAATATCCTGATTAAGAAAAAGTATGTCGAATGAAAAAGGGATAATTAAAAAATATTATTTCTCATAAAAAAATTGTATTGATCCATACACTTTTCAATAAGTTTTAGCATTATATGGCAATTTTAAGTAAAAAAAATTGAAAAAATATCGAAAATTAGCAATTTTTAAATTTGTAATTTTTTTGAAGGTTTATGATTTTTTGACGTATCAAAGAAATTGGTTGGGCGAGAGCTGAGAAAAAGTGGTAACAGACACAAAAAAAAAACACATCATAGTGTCGTACGTCGGTAGTGCTCCAACGTAGACACAAAAGTTTAACACAAATTAATTAATGTTCTTATATATATATATATCGACGACGAGTTCGTCGTTCGAGCTCTTCTTGAGTCTTCCCATTGGATAAACTGATCAGCCCAAATCTCTCTAATTAGTGGATTACTAAAGGGGTAGAGTTTAGACCCGTCAGCACAGTCTAGCTCAAAAGTAGCAGACTGAAGGGTGGCTCCTTGTCAGCCACCAGCACAACTACCTTTTTACTATACCCACTAAAGGACGGTTAAGCCCAAACACTAGCCAGCTCGTACATTAATTATTAAGATTGACTAAAGGACCAGCAGTCCAATCTAGACTCTAGCCGCACACACGCACACAAATTTCAAGAATACGGTGAATATAAAATATTTGCGCTAAGCCCAGATTTTTAAATAGTTATTTTATTTACGAAATGTATTAAACACAAAGTCAAATATAATATAAAAATTTAACACAAAAATTAATTAAATCTTACAAAAATATAAAGTTTACAACAACGACATAACCCGTAACTCGACGTTTCTTCGACAAAACATCCAGTCTTGTCTCGCCCAGTAACGTTTCCTATACTTTTCATGTTTCCCTTTTATATTCTTTTCCCCACCATTATTAATTTGCTTACCCTGCATTTCNCCCCACCATTATTAATTGGCTTACCCTGCATTTCCCTTTTATATGGAATTATTATATTGCTTAAGAGTTGAAAAATTGCTTACTACTATTGTAAAGCTTACATTATACTAAAATCGATGTAATTCAATACTTCCTCATCTAATTACTACATTAGTAAAACCAATACCTTCTCATCTTCAAATCGAAGCTAAAAATGTTTCTAATCTCATTCAGTAAACTTATGTTTTAGTTTTCAGGTGCCACGATGAGCGGCACATGATTTGTATAGCCCCCCTTCTAATAAATATATTCTATTAAATGAGTAACTGTGCTATAATAAATTTGCATAATAGTCATTAAATACGAAAATATGTCATCATATAATGATAAAATCTTTGACCTTCTTATTTTCAATAGGTTTTTTGTTTGGATTATTAATGACAATCAATGAAAAAACTAGAGTACATTTTTGTTGATTTAAATCAATTTGCCCCTCACGTACTGAAATAAATTATGGCTTATTCTTTAAAATAAACAGTCAAATTAAATTAATAAGTTGTAATATCAAAATAAACTCACTTGTCAATTTGATTTTATAAGTCGCCTCTGGAATAATATTTGTTTTTACTACATGTGTTATAGATGATAATTTTTTTTATTATATTTTATAATATGTCATTTATAATACACGATGTAGATACTCAAAAATAGATAATATAAATACAAATTAACTTATTGACCAATTTCATTCTAATTAGATAAAAAATCACACAAAATATAATTGCATTTATTTAACAGTTTGATGATTATATAATGTTGCATAAAAAATATTAAACTCACAACATTATTTATATATTTTTTTAATAATCTAAAAATTAAACTGATTTTTTTTCTAGAAATCTTTTAATAATTTTATATTCATGGTAATCTAATAGTTTTTATTGCAATTAAAAAAATAGGGTTTAAGGGATCTTAGAATAAGAAATTTAAAAATAAATTATTTTTTGACAAGTAATAAAATCTAAAAATTCTATTATTTTATTTAAATTTATATGACTTAAATTTATTTAAGCTGAAAGCATCTAGATGAATAATCAATAAAACGCATTTTGACACAACAATGAATGACTTAACTTTTTAAAATAATAAATGTTTTAATCTTAAGAAAATAATAATTTAGTTTTTTTACTCGTTAAACACATTATTAATTTAACTTATTTAAAAGAAGAACGTTAAATTATCATTGTCACATTTTTTTAAAAAAAATATAATTTAGTTATAATTTAAATCTTCTACAAATCGATATGCGCAACAAATAAGGCAGTAACTCACTATTTCTTATTTTTCAGGAGATAAAAAATAAAATTTATTCTCTGATTATACTCTATGTTTATTAATTTTTAAGTAGTTTAATTCCGATTCAAACTAAATTATTGATATTTTGTTGAAAGTTATAAGAAGAGTAAAACATAAATCCAAATACCTCATAATCTCAAAGTTAAACTTTTTGAGTTACACCTTATTCAATTTGTATTCAAAACGAGTGTTCTATCGTTCTTTTAGTAAACGTTGTTAACGCACTGAGCTGGTCGATTGACGTCTAGAGTACTCGTGCAAGGCGGTACTCTGTGGATACGACGACATTTAAGGGCTATTTGAGCAATATTCACAGATTAAGCTACACAATGTAACTCATGTAGTTAGGTTATAACGACATTTGATATATTTATAAATGACCTAGCATCACACTCTGTTTATAATATTTTATGATTACAGTCCACCCACAAGTATTATCAAAATGTTTGTAATTTCATAAGAACATATTCTAAAATTAATATCGACCCATCTAAATTTTTTGTAAGAAAAGCGTTAAAAATTATTATTTTAAAATTTAAAAATTTACCTTGTATTAAATCTTCCCTTGAATTGGCCATAGAATTGAATTCATGAAACATTATTACAAATGTGCAGCTTATCAAACTTTTTATGAATACCATGGCAATCCAATAATCTGTAAACATATTAATTATAAGATATATTAAATTTTCAACAACTAAATTATTTTTTTTTTAAAATTAGTAAATTACTGTGGGCAGTAATCCCCTTGGGGCACGTCTTAGAGTTGACCAATCGTCTCCAAATTTCGTACAATTTATTTTTTCATGTATTCGAATAATTCTAGGGGTTGGCACATTGTAGTTTTTAAATTTTATTAATAAGGGTCACCCTAGTGGGCACACTTTATATAATTAAAAAACAGATAACAGAATAATCAACTATTTCAATATAAAATAATCTTATTCGAGAATTAGTCAGTATTAATGGTGTTGTCATAACTAAGTTGGGGTTTGGGGGTATTAGTTCTCCGAAATTTAAATTTAGTCCCCTCGACGTCATGGTTTTTAGACCTTGTTAAATTTTATAAATGGCTACTTAATATTGTATAGTTATTTTAGATTATTGGTAAAAGGAAGGAGTTAAAAATAATATTTAACTACTGTCTAAACCTAAGTATTACAACAATTTAATTCAACAAAAAGTAAAAAACAACAATTATGTGATGGTGTCATGTTACCATTATTGTGAGAATTACTTTAATAAAATACAGACAGCACATCCGCTTCCTGAGACTGATGAATTAACAAATAATATTTATTGCCAATTTGGCAATAGTTCTAATTATTATAAAAACCCAAAAGACCTGACCATCGTGGTTAGTCGATTCCAGTGCCTTGTGTCTATCATCAGTCTCAATACTCGGTTGTCGCTGTCCGGCTTACTGCTTAAAGTAAAGTCTTTGTATTTTCTTTTTTAAACCTATCTACTCTCTTTCATAACATTTCAGAGTACTTGTGTCTTGCACTTCGTCTGCACCCCATACCTAGGTGTTTCCCTTATTTCCTTCCTATAACAACAGCCTTTCAACACCCACAGCTAACCCGGAGTGTCAGCCGAGCACGGTGACTGCTGTACGACAATACGCACGTGAATACCTTGACAGCAGGTACCATATCCTCATCTTTTCTTCGTACACATTACCATTAAATTCACCACCATTTCCTTTTTTTGTGTTACGACAATTATAACATACTTACGCAGCACTGAATAATGTGTTACATGATAAATCTAGATAAAATAGATAGGTTTGTAAACCTTTAAAAAATCCCTAATAAGTGTATAGTAATAAGTTTGTTGTTGTAACTTTTAAGAATTTATTTGCTTTTGAACAGCAGTTAAAGTGGGAAAAAACAGGAAGGGGACTATAATTTTTAAAAAATGAGAAGCGCATCACAAAGTCAGTATCAATATTTCAATTTATTATGAAAATAAATGCAAAACAGTCTTTTTAATTTTTAAATATTATACATGTAACATGACAAAAAGTATCTTTCTATTTTTTGATCTATTTGTATATATATATATATTTGTGTTGAGCCGAATGCATACTGCAACAGCGTTTATCAGTTTGTGCGCGTGCGAGATAGTCAGCTGTGTACTACTTCAGACCGGTTCATTTGTGTATATTCACCCCGCTCCTTTCCTATCTTGAACGTCATTTGCACTGCTCACCGCATACATTGTCGCCTTATGATTTAAATTGTTCTTAGTAATTTCCGGCACTGGGTATTTAGTTTTTTTTTTTCACCCTACTCTAAAAGCTAGCCATGTTGTCACCAATGGACCGCCGGGTCAAACGCCGGACGTTTTGTCAGAAATTAGCCATCGTCGGAACTGGTCCTTTAATTTTCGTCCGTGGTGGTTTTTTTTTTGTTGTGTGCGCTACAACCATAATAATTGTTTTTTTGTTTTGTCGTGAGTGCCCGTTATATTAAAAATTTTTTTTTGTCTTACGGCGTCGGTTGAGCCTGCCTCCTATTCTTTAGCCCTTCGGGGATGGTAATGTATATTTTTGTTTTTAATGTTTTAAGCCAGAATTTGTTTTTTTTATTATTAGTGCGCCGTGTCATAAGCACGTGTGGTGAGTTTTTTATATTAAAATTTTTTTTTAGGTGCCCTTATTTTTTTTTATTTAGGTCCCGCAACATGGCATGTCGTGTGACAAGACCACTTGTCATGTTATATCTATATTTTTTTGTGATTTTTTTTATAGGTTTTATATTATATTTTATGGGTGATGCGTATGTATCAATGTGTATTAATTAGTACAATGTGGTGACGTAGTGCATTTTATTCCGGGGTGTCCCAACGTCTTGCCAAGCTAACAAGTCTAACTGTTGTTAGTAAGTTGTTGTAAGTCTAACTGTTTAAAACATGTCGCCTACTTGGGACGTATACCCGCCGTGCTTAGCGGTAATGCCGTGATTAATAGCCGGTGGTTACCCGAAGACGTTCATCGTATTATCTAATTGTAAAAGTGTAGGTGTAATTATTTTTTTATTAATATCTGTTTTTTTTTCTCTCTGTTACCCTTTAATATGTAGACGAGGTTTTTTGACCGCTCATTTTTTTGCCTCGTGTTAACTTAATTTTTTTTTTTTACTTAATAAATTCCCCTTAATTTAACTTAATCATCATATATTTATTTTTTTGCATGTTTCATCTTCAATGGACTCGTGTATTTTTTTTCTTTCAAAAATCAACTCCCCTAGTTTATAAGGTACGGGCAACGGCCTTATATAAGGTCATCCCTGATCCATATGGTTATGTGACAATAGTCACGAGGTTTTGGTGTACATCTACTATCAACGACTCAACAGACATCAACTTTAATCTCTATTAATTTTATATTTTAGCTTCGATGCGAAGCTGAGAAGGTATTGGTTTTACTATGATGTGTTTTTTTTTTTTTTTTTTTTTTTTTTT